ATTGTGTGGGTGGGGCAACAAAAATATTCGTTGTGAGTCGCATGCGGCCCGCAGGCAGCGAGTTTGACACCCCTGCACTAGACTATCGCGCCCACATTGTCTTCACTGAACAGAAAGAATTTCAATATTCTTAACCTAACATCCTCTTGACTTTTTTTCCCCCTCCTTTTTCATTCACATAGCCAATCATACTTTTATAAAATAATAAGAACATTATATTTAATGTAATTTAACAAAGAAAATTAAGAATAGCAATCTGATTTGCAAATTTCACCTAATTCTGAAAAGTTTTAAAATTCATAACAAATGTTTTTATTATAAAACAGAACATTGTAATAAAAATCTAACTAATAATAATAATAATAAAAACCTGACTCACACATCCTGAAATTGTAAAACCTTTTAATATTTTTGTTAAGTAACAACATTTTTTTCTAAATTCTTTACTTGGCTACAAGAAGTATAATGAATTCCAAACTATTTTTTATTATAGTACCCATAGTTGCCTACTGAGTCAATGTTCTAAAACAAGAAAAACTCGAAAAACACTCCCACCACAGGCCTGCCTCTTTATTGGCTTCAGCAACAAGCATAAAGACCCTAAACAAAGCTGCTGACAAGACTGTAAATTTTACGACACAATCATTAAAGGACAGCGACCACTACCTTAGGGTGGATCGTAAAAACACAAAAATGAAAGGCTGTATGTTAACCGGACGTTTAAATTAATTACTGGACAATGAGTCCGGGCGACTCGTTTAATACCATGGCCGGATGACTCGGACCTTGACGGCTTTATTTGTTTTTCATGGCTTTGCCAGAGTATTTTTCGATCCATTTGTCGAGCATTCCAGAGCTTTTACGTTTTGGTTGATGGGCTTTCAGCGAGCTGTGAAGAAATAATTTTTAACTTTGGGGGTGGTGATAAAAGTGTGTAGACTTTGCAACTCTATTTGTAGTGGCTTTTAGGTGAAAATGCTTTTTTTTATTTGTCCTTTTTCTGTAACATTTAGTTACGTTAGTGCAGTGCGAAGACGCTTTGTAAGGTAATGTTACAAGTATGTATCAAATCTCCGCTTATTATATGATTATATATTGTTAGAGCGAGTTTAGTATTAGCAAAATGTCAAAATTAATAAAACAAATAAGTACGAGTTCTTAAACCTATTTTCAATCATATTTTACAAGTAATTATTAGACAAAAATATTCCTTGAATACTCAAGCATGTACTTTGGAAAAGAATAATATTTATAAATTATAGTTTAAAAGACTAAAAAATACTCTATTATAGTTAATCGATCTAATTTTTAAATTTATCTTTTAGTCGCCAATTATGGAATTAGCCACTAAATCTAGAAATGGGATCCGAAATTAGTCGCCAGTTGTGGGATGGGATTTGAAAATGGAAAATCGTTAATACTGATGATCCTGATCAGGACAAGTGAAGCTTGTAAAAGGGTGTTAATAAAAATTAATAAGGTTTGCATCTACCAGCTATTTTGAATTGATAAATTTATCTTAATGTTATATGGAATTTCTACTTTTGTCCTCAAATCTTGACTATAGTATCGATTCCAATGTACTAAAGCACATTCGAAAGAGAAAAAAGTATATCGAAGGTTTCTTTGGAATAATATTTTCCCTCCAATATTTGAAAATCTGTATTACATATAGAAGTAAAGTGAATTACTCACTCATTCAAGTACTAATTCACTTACCACGAGATCTCCTGAGCTAGACTCTTACAGAATTGAAATTTGGTAAGCGTGTTTCTTTCGTTGAGTACAGATATGTTGAGAACGGGTTTTGAGGAAATCGAGTTACAAGGGTTGGGGCTGTGGGAGGTTATAGGGGTATTATTGTCAAAATTTCTTGTTTTCGAACTATTAGAGCGCTATAGACTTGAAACTTAGTGAACATATTATTTTCATTGAGGAAAGATCTGTTAAGAACGGTTTTTACTGAAATCGACTGCAAAGGAATGTTATTGCGGTGTTATACATAAAAAAAAGCCAGTGTTTGTTCTATTAGATTAGATTTGACATTTGACAACCACAATTCTTTTTTGTTGAGTAGAAATCTGCTAAGAACGAATTTTTTCAGAAATCACTCTGAAGTAATGATTTGGGCAAATCTTTTCATTTTAAAATCTTAAGGCGAGGGCTATAAAAATATTTTTCAATGCGCTAGAAAGATTACTGCTAAGACATAGATATCAATAACTAATAAAAAACAGTATATAGTCCTACAATACTGACAAACAGTTGGGTAAGTAACAGCTAGTTACGAATATTTCTATTCAATAAATTAGCTGATACGCAAGTCGTAATGATTAAAGCAGTAGTTAATTTACTTGACATACGGCATAGATTTAAAAGCTATTAAACAAATTAATTCATTTATTTATTAATAGTTTATATATTTAAGATCTTTAACATAAATAACAAGAAATAATTCGCTAAAATATGTCGTTATTTAAATTGATATTAAATGAAACATTCTTGGTATTGTTATTAAAAGGTTTTTTTTTAATATTAATAATACGTAATTATCTAAATGAACTGCATTTTAATAATGGAATGTATTACTAATGAATGACTTTTAATCTGTTCAGCCATTTCACAAACACACAATGGAGTGCTTTAAGTACCATTTTGGGAATTTCACACATCAAATGTCCCCCTTGAGATCTGAAAGTGATAAAGTTTAAAAGATAATGATTTTCGATTACCATTTAAAGATGCTTGATTACCTTTAAATTTTTTTTTTCTTTCTGTTCTCTTTTTTCTTAAAAAAATATTGTTTTAACTGTCTTAATTATTTTTTATACAATTTAAAAAAAAAAAAATTCTTCTATTTTTTTAAAAAAATGATGCACAAAATAGTAAATTAATGCTAATTTTTACTGCCCACCTAATCTATATTTTTAATGGAATAGTTAAAACATAAGTTTTCTGTGTTATATGCTTCATGCATCCACTTGATTCCTCCATGATTTACGACTAAATTTCCTACCAGGGGCGGTTCTAGGGCTCGACAAACTGGACCCCTGACCAGAGCGGCAAATTTTAAGTGCGGCATTTGGATCAAATTTCAAGAATATTTTTTTGTTACAAAAAATTTGATATATTTTTTGAAATATTATTGGATGTGAATTTGATATTTCATTTAACGTATCGTTTGAAATAATAACAAGTAATTATGTACTGAATTTCGAATATTTTGAATTTTTTAAGACTTAAAATTATATATATATATATATATATAAAGAGAGAGAAGAGGGGGGCGGGGTATTTTCCATTTTTGTCCGTGGCGGCAAAACTGCTCGAGCCGGCCCTATTCCTACTGACATACAGATCCTAAATGGAGTTAATCACAAATCGTTTTTATATTTTGTAGTACAATTTCATTTAATTGAGTTATAAAAACTGGACTTAAAATACAAAAATTCCACTTATGCGTGTACGATTTTAATGAACTTTAAGTAGAAATACACAATATTGTTACGAAAAGTTTAAGATTTGCTCACTTCTCTACCGGGAGCTTACTGTGGCGGGAAAGAACATTTTTAGAGTTAGACAGAATATTCTTTTAGGCAAGCAAAAAGAGCCAATTCCTTGGCGAAAGATTTGGTAGCCGAATATCACCAAGCAGCCAAATGAATGATTAAGTGATATTAACGTCGCACTACAAAGCCTGACAAGGGTTATTGGCAACATACGTCGTAATTTAGAACCATGGTCAAATGATGAGGACGACATCTGAACTGGCACCCCCTCTCTCTTAACTTACACACCACATCAACGGGAGGACTCTTGAGTCTGGATATATTTAACGTACATCGGTCTCCTCTGCACAACAGGTCTTCAGTTGCACTGGGCTCAAATTCATGACACACCAGCCACAAGTCCGTTATCTTGACCACAAGGGTATCGCTGCCACACCAAACCGCCTAATTTTGGATCATAAGTAGAAACACTAGGAAAAATTCAGATTATTTCATGAAGAAACTCCAGAAGTTGCAATGCTTTTGAATTTTCCCGAAACTCAACACAAACGAGAACAGGGTGAATTGGGGGAGAGGGTCGTATCTGCACTGGAGAAAATAAAAAAAAAACGATATCATTTGTTTAAGTGGTGATTTGGATATTTTTAAAAATGTAGAAATCGATACCCTACATCGCATTTTAAGGCACTGTGGCCAAATATTTCACAATTTTACACTGATTTTTCAATTCCTACTATTAGTTCACTCTCTCTCTCTCTCTCTTTCTCTCTCTCTATACATATAACTTGTTCACATTTTGAATGGTTAATAGAATACATTTTATTCATCTACTGGAGTTCAAATACATTTTTTTGTTGAACATGTAGTGGATGACACTTTGTAATGGCCTCCCCACTGGGGAAGCCTCCTCCTCACATAATCGACCTAAATCTGTGGAAGGTAAAGATTGATGACCAAGATTAACCATGATAAATCCAATTTATTATGACCAAAGATAATATTCCAAGACAAGCAAATTATAAAGAAAAACTCTAGAGTGCTATAACGAGAACTCAAACCCTATGTGAATAAGCGCACGAAATCCTAATAGCTTAACTTTACTTAACGTTATCTTAAAAATCCTCTCTTCCTTAATTTATTCTAATAGTTAAAGTTCGACCTCAGTCACGAGGCGAAATTCTGAACCTTACCGTAACAGCGACTCCGCTTCCTTTTCCTACTACCCTAGGATTATCAAACTTCCACTATACATGTATGCTAGCTAATCTGCATATCATGGTTTATTCTTGAGAGGGATGGCTGTGAAAAAACGCGATTGCTGGCCCAAAGATTCCCCAAGAGGATTAGTAGAAATTCTCGTAAATCCCCGTCACAACTTGATGTCAATACAGTTTTTCAAATATTAATTCATTAATTAAATTAAAAAATGAGTAAATAGTAACAAAAATAATAGTCCAATACCCTATATAAAAAGGAAAAATCGCTCGTTGTGCCCCTGTAGCGCAATGGGTAGTGCGTTGGACTCCTAATCCAAAGGTCGTGGGCTCGAATCCCACCTGGGACGATCTAATTTCTGAGAATGTGATTTCTTTTTACTATACTCTTTTTTACGGAATAATTAAATTTTTTTATGAATAAATAGTAACACACAAACAAAAATAAAAGTCCAACATCATATGTAGAAAGAAAAATGGAAAATTGCAAGAAAAACACTTTCTATTTTCCATTTAATATTGTGATTCTGTCATATGCATATACATATTTTTTTTTATATTAAATATAACTATTTAATAAAAAATAACTAAAATAAAATTTTTCTTTGTTGACCAAAGTAGGAATTAACTTAAACTTTTTTTATAATACTTGTTTCACTAACGTTCATCTTATATATAGCCGTGCTTTTAATCACAGTCACAAAAGGGGAAACATTTTGCTGGTTTAATTAAAATTAAAATTGCTTGCTTAAGTCGGTTTGAGAAAATGATGTCACCAAACTTTTACTCTCCAATGAAGAAGTCAAGTTTCTCAAAAGAGGACTTATTTAGTTTAATTTCCAGAATGATACAACACTTACTATATACTTTTCTTATCTTAAGTGTATAACTCAGATTCAGTAATAAATTTCAAAATAAAACGGAACGGTTTTTGAACAAGTAATCTTTTTTGATTATCAAACAATCCTTCTCGGTACAGAAGCAGATTTAGAAATTTCTGTAATAAGCGCAAAATGGATCTTAAGTAACTGCCGATGTAAAATCGATAAGCAAAAAGGAATTATAGATTTTTGAAATGCCTTTTTAAGTAATTGATTACACCTTTAATCAATTCTTCTTCTTTATCTCTAAAAATATATATGATCCTTTTTTAAAAAAAGTGTTTTTACATTTATCATTTTGTTATAATCAAAATATTGAGTTTATACTGTTCTTTTATTCTCCTTTTAAATGTAAAGTATTTTTTTTTTAAATCATTCTGTTTTCAGCATTTTCATGAAACTTCAAAATTTCTTGTTTCACAAATATATTTTCATGGATTTTTTTGGCTAATATTACCATAGTTAAAAAAGGGAGGAATTTACCCTGATTTATCACAAATTCCTCCATCGAATTAAAATAGCTTTTTACATTTTTATGTAGTATATACACTGCTGTAGTATGGATACCTTGCGGACATTCCACTCTGCTGCAAACGGAGTTTCAGAACACAAGATGATGCATAATAGATTGAATCTGTTGTGCTGTGGTTTCTGATGAGGCTGCGTGATCCATCAATGCCAAACGCACAATCTGTCTGCCATCACGGGTAATGGTGCAACGAGGTGGGTGTGATCGGCCCCGTCGTTTCCTCCTGCATCCAGCGATAACAGATCCGTATCACAGTTGTTTGGTTTCGTCCAACACGTTTACTAATTTCTCTGAAGGATAATCCGCAATCCCTATAGGCTACTATTCTGCCTCGGTCGAATTGAGAAACTTAATCAAAAGACTCTCGATGTCTTTTACGGGGCATAGGTAAACAGCTTACCTAAAAAAAAAAAACGCACGAAAAACAATTGCCATACTTCAAATCGCTTATCTGTTCTCCCCTTATATATCGCGTGCGGGAGCCGCTATGTTCGCCCACGATGTACTGCTAATGATTTTCATATTTCATCGCCACCAACGCCTGATGTAAATTTCACTTTATTTGCATGCTTCCTTCAGGGTGTTACATTTTGTGTGACCAGCAGTGTTCTTTCGAAATAGTTCCACACAATTCTATTCTTAAAAATAATTTTGGAAAGTATTTTGAATGGGTCTCTTTAT